GGGTGGACTAATCATTGCAGTTGATCGTGATTTACCAACGAAAGTTATACCCATATCTAACCTACCACCATCCGACAGCGAAGCACTAGCCGTGCAGATTACTACTTCTGACAACACTCGTGAACCTCAACGCTCCTAAGGGCCGATTTTTAGTTGACTGGCTACAATCCCTTCAATGGCTAGTTAACTTATTCATCTTACTAAGAGACTTCATCCAACACCGCGCCGCTCTAGGAGCCCAGTCAACGTCAAAAGATGTAGAAAGATTTATCGAGTGGCTTCTTGAAGCACAATATTGCCTTCTAAATACAAACTTCCCAACATGTTTCAAGCCAGGATGCCAACCCTCACTTCTTTATCTCATCATCACTTCTACTGACTTTTTTCCAAAAGCGAACTTTGTTGTATCCTCTGACACATTTGATAGTGATCACGCTGATCACGCTGATCACTGATAAATATCACTCTGGCAATCTCCAACAACAACCCTCAATTAAGCAAACAAATTCGAGTACATTGGGAGGACTTAATCGCAGATCTTGAAGAAACGATTCTCGCAGAAAACGACTTTTCCACGCAAAGTTTTCAAGTAATTTACCAGCAAAAACTCAAGAAACACAGCTCAATTAGATCGTCTCTAAATCAACGCTTTCCACCTTTCAGGAACTCTCAGTGTTTTTTTCTATTAGGTAAAAAACGCAAATACTTTAGAATTGCTCGTCGTATTCAAAATCCGGATACGTGGAAAATTTATGGAAAGTTCGTTGCAGAGTTGCGGCAGGCAATCCACTCAGCCCGCAGGAAACACTGGCATGAAATCTGCATTAACGCTTAACAATCTAAATCCCTCTATAAAATACTCCGTCCAATATTAAATCACCTTGAGGTCCTTCATGAACCTTCAAGCATTACCACAATAACTTTATAGTGCTTTGGCACAAGCAAACGCATTTGCAGCCTTCTTCTCCGCCTACCAAAAATTGGCTTCCCCTGGACTTCAGCGGATCAGATCAGGAATTCAATCAACTCTTCACTTTACAGGAACTCAAAGATGCTCTCTCATCCTCCAAATGCAAATCACCGGAGCCAGATAAACTTCCCCTAAAAGTATTGCGCTCTCTCTCGGACGCAGCTCTGCAGAAACGTCTGGATGAATTAAACTCTATCTGGGCTTCTGGACAAATCTCAGAGCCCTGGAAATTGGCCCACGTCATTCCAATCTACAAAAAGGAAAACCTACAGATCTGGTGTCTTTTTATGGACCTATATCGCTAACATCCACTCTAAGTAAAACTCTCAAACGTATGCTCCTAAAACGCATCACTGACTTTTTACTCAAGACAGGAATTTTTCGTGCTTTCCTTTGCGGTTTCCTTCATTCAAAGGAGCAGATTCAGTTTTCACTATCCTCCATCATGAAGTCCTTCGGGCTCGACAAGAAAAGAAGTTCGTAATCTGCTACTCACTTGACATCCACGCAGCTTCCGACAATGTCATCCAGGAAGCCTTAATCCTCAAACTCCTAAAATCTGGTATCACGGGCAGAGCTGTCCTCTTCATCCATAATTTTGTCAAACATAGAAAGATTGCCGTATGATGGCGAAATTTGCTATCAGCCAATTTCCCAATGAACAAAGGTGTTCCACAGGGGTCAGTTCTTTTCCCTTTCCTCTTCATGATATACTTGTCTGTCCTACATCTGAGTCTCCCTGATGATGTATTGAGCCTCGTCTTTGGAGACAATATCTATCTGATTGCAGACGCAGAATCTAGTTACGAAGTGAAACACAGGATCCAATGCTCTCTCTCCATCAAATTCAGAAATAGCATAATGATTGGAACCTTAAAATTGTTACAGAAAAAAAGTACCACCATTAACTTCTCTCGAAGACGGATAACAGATAATTTTAGCTTCAAAATTTTTTCCAAATCAATCCCTTGGGTCCAAAACCTTCGAATACTCGGCCTACATTTCTCTAGCAACATGACCTTTCACTATCACTTCAAAATGTAAAACAAAAAAAATTTTGAAACTCTCTGTGTTCCATTGCATCTCTAACACACATTGGGGTGCACAGTCAGATCACCTGCTTAAAATAGTCAACTCTTGTATCAGGAGTGTCCTTGACTTTGGAAGTAACATCTTTTCCTTTTCCAGCCAAACCGGTCTCCGAACCTCAGACGTATTATGCAATGCTACACTTCACTTCGAGTGGCAACTGGCTTGCCTCGATGGACACTTATCCCTCTCCTACTCAAAGAAGCGGGAGTGAGTTCTCTAGCTTAGCGATATAAATGGCTATCGGCAAAAATTCTACTTCCGATACATCTCCCTCTAATCATCTTCTCCTGCTCACCATCACTTACATCTCCCTCCAGCTTTCCATAGCGTAAAACAACTCTACTTATACCATTTATTCATAGATAGATGACCACCACCAAGAATATCTCTCAAGATGAAGTTATTAAATATCACCCTTCAAAAGTTTCAATTTATCTTGACAATTTTCATTCCATACCAAAAATTTTCTCCTCTACAGGTTCGAGCACTGCTTGATGTGTTTCACCACCAGAATCTCTCAAACTGTATTGTTCTGGCAACCGATCCAAACAATCAGACAAAATTGGCTTGGATTATTTATTATGTAAGTAAAATGTTGATCTTTTTTTGCTAGAAGTTTTATTATTTAGTCAGATTTATTATTTAGAGAAGTAGAGAAGGACGGAATATTTTACTTTCCGATAGAGTCTCGCAACATTTTGGTGACCTGAGGACGTGATATTAAGCAGCAATCCAAATTTGCATATGAAGTATTTTCAATAATACAATGGAGAAAATTCAAAAACAACGGAAGATAGTTCGAAGTTCCTTCACTCGGTTAAGTAATCAGATTTTAAATTAAATGAAATCAACCGAAACCAAAGATTTGGTACAAGTTAGAGCTAAATTTAAAACGTTTAAATTAAAAAACGAAGAACTTCAAAAGTTGGATAACGAATTATTGGAACTTATGCTGCAGTCCGATGATATTACAGAAGAAGAAATTGAAAGTAAGTCAATTGATGATTATTGTAATAATTATTATGAAGTTGAAACAATTTTTGATGAATATTTTAAAGAGCTTAATGAAGAAAATTCATTGATAAACTTATAACAGCCGAATCGTAAATTCAAACTTCCTAAAATTGAGCTTGCCAAATATGACGGTAGTATAAAAGGCTGGTTATCATTTTGGTCATTGCTTAAAAAAATCGATCAAGATTTAACTTTAGATCCTGGTGATAAATTTCAATATCTTATACAGTGTACAATTGACAATTCTCGTGCGAGAGAACTTGTTTTAAGTTATCCGGCAACAGCCGAAAATTATTCAAAGGTGATAGAAAGCTTTAAATCTCGATTTGGAAAAGATGATGTTTTAGTTGAGTTTTACATTCGAGAACTTTTATCTTTAATTATACAAAACACAAAATCACAAATGGTTTTTTCACTTTCTTCTCTATATGACCAAATAGAATCACAATTAAGGGCTTTGGAATCATTGGGTATAACCACTAAAATGTATGATGCAATTTTATTCCCGTTAGTGGAGTCATGTATTCCTGAGGAGCTTCTTAGAGTGTGGCAAAGACAGTCGAAAATTGGCGGCACTCCGAAAGGTAGACTTGATGGTCTGGGTCTGATGTCATTTATGAAAAGTGAGGTAGAAAGTGAACAGAGAATTTCAATGGCTGTTGGCGGTTTTGATTTCAAGAAGTCTAAATTGACGAAAGACAAAATATCGCCAAATGCGCATGCATGATAAAGTAGTACCAACTGCAAACGATTTATTTTCTGGTAACCAAAAAAAGGAAAAGTTAGCCAATTGTATTTTTTGCCAAAAAGTACATGAAAGTAAAGATTGTTTTTTGGCATCTAGGATGTCTCATGAAGAAAAACTAGAAAAGATAAAACAGGAAAAAGCTTGTTTTGCTGTCTTAAGGTAGGACACCGTTCAAAAGCATGTAAAACTTTTGTAAAGTGCATCAATTGTGGTAAAAAACATTGGACTGTGATGTGCGCTGAGCTCAAAATCAATCAGAAGTCAAAAGAAATACTGAGAAATGACAACGAAAAACTTCTTTATATAGTACTAGCTGTTCTGGAGAGGTTCTTTTACAAACTTTACTAGTGAAGTTAAAATCAAACACCAAAAAACGGACTGTTCGTGCGATTATTGACATTGGCTCACAGCAGTCGTATATTCTAAAAGAAACAGTTCATAAAATGGGTTATGTGGGAAAAGGCTCAAAAGATTTGACACATATTTTATTTGGAGGTTCCACTATACAGAATGAATCTCACAAATGCTACAACATAACAGTTGCAGACTTGAAAGATAATTTCAACTGTACTTCTCAAGTTCTGGATAAAAATGTTATTTGTGGAAATTTGCCAAGACTAAAAGGACCTTGGTTGAAAGAGCTGAAAAACCTGAAATTTGGATAACAGATTACGGTGAATGCCAACAGGAAATTGAATTACTCATTGGAGCTGAGCTGACATCTGTGGACAACTTTTTACTGGAAACATGTATGAACTGGAATGTGGTTTAACGACTATAGAAACAAAATTAGGCTGGACCATTATGGGAAGAGTTCCAAAAGAAACAGAAAATGGATTTGCAAGTCTCATCATAAATTCACTCCTTTCTCAGACCTGCAGCATAACAAAACTATGGGATATTGATATTTTAGGTATAAGAGATCCTATGTCTCGAGACAAAGTCGAGAAAGGAGTTAGAGACAGCAGCATTGGATTATTTTCAGATAACAGTCAATAAGAATGTATCCTCTCAGAGTAATTGTTTACCAGGCAAGAGTAAGGCAACTATGAAACCAAAGCGAACGACTCTAAGTCAAAATCTGAGAAAAAGAAAAAGTCATCCAATGAAGTATCTGAACTGCAAAACTTTGCCTTTGGAACACATAAATCAAAGCATAAGTCTGGTTCTAGTAATATGAAAGCAGTTAATGCCAGCCGAAAGCAATGGGAAGAATGGAAGCAGAAGGATAGTGAATTTGTATCTGAAACCAATGAGCAAGATTTGCAGGAAGCACTTCCTTTGAGCAAAATAGATTATGAAAAAGAGAAAGATGCTCATGATGCTATTCAGAGAGAAAGTGAACAAAACAAAAACTATAATAAAAAGAAAAAAAAACCAAAGGAAGGAAACGGGGACAATGAGTTTAGATGAACGCCAAAGCCTGGACTCATATCAGAATACCTTGGGATCTTTTCATAAAGCTCCTGATTTAGATAATTTTGAAATTGTAGTAAAGCAGCCAGTTGTAGAAGAATTTAATTTCTTTGACAAGATTGCAGAGGATGCGGCAAAAATCATTACAAAGGAGCAGAATCAAGAGCAGTACAGAATTAATCCTGTGATAGAATCAGCACGTCTTCTTCAATATCAAGAGGATATGCGGAAGAAAGATGAAGAAATAGCTACCTCAAATGAAAGCGTACAAAATTTAAAAGCAGTCATTTAATGAAACCTTTGAAAGTCAGTCCAACGTTCCAGAAATAACGAAACCAGAAGATGTTGATATATGTACACTCAAAGACAATAACTAAAATAATGTGGCTATAAGACAATAAATAAAAGACGAACAACTAAGAACTAAGACAATAAATAAAAATAATGTGGACGGACATTAGTGAAACCTAGACAATAATTTTTTTTTGTTTTTTGGATATTATTATTTCTTTACTTCTATAAATTTTTTCTCCGCCGATTCCAATTCATTCACTGAAAGAACTCTTTCTTTTTGAATTTTGCTTTTTCGGGTATTATTGATACCCGAAAAAGAGTCTCGCAACAGCAGTCAAAAGATTGGCCATTTTCTTAGCCCTCAAATATTGCACTACAAGCAACGACCACAATATCTGTCTAACGGACAGCCGTTCAATCCTTCTGTCTTTCAAAAAAGGCACACGAAAATCTACCTTCTCTTTCTTGAACAAATTGCCAAATCAAGTCAGACAGTGAGTTCTCTCTTATTTATTTAGGTTCCAGCTCACACTGGGGTAGACGAAAACGAACTCGTAGACCAGCTTGCGAAATAAGCACTAACCAAAATTTCATTTCTCATCTTATATCACCTTAAGACCTCCGCCAAGCCTTCCTTAACGAACAGCTCATTTAAAAACTCTGTGTAGGAAGGATTGCAAATAGCGTCAGCAAAGCTATCTACCTATGGCAAGACTTCGCATGCTTTCCCTTTAAGCGTGTGGAGAGTCATTGAGAAAGGAATCATACAGATTGAATTAACCCTTGATTTTCATGTAGATTAAACTCTTTTAAGATGGAAAACTATATGGAACCCAAAACTACATTAAACATAGTTCTAAAGAAAAGCATCATGGAAATTTTAAAAAATATGTTTATTAAATGAAAAGGAAAAATATGAAGAAAAGGGAAATATCGTAGTACATTCCTTTACAACCGAAAAGCGGAGGAGAGGGAAGGGTGAAAAGGGCCAAAGGCATGAAACCGATCTCTCCCCAGAGGGCGAATTCGAGCATTGCGATGGCCAATATTTCATTTCCTTACCTCACCTTGATGGATCTCAAGATCACCGACCACTAATCAGCTCCCGAAATATCTTCCGACAAATGCTATTTTTACACAAGTGTAAATTGATACAAAACCCAAACTGCGGAGATATAGACACAAATTATCACTTCCTCCTGGAATGTTCCTCATTCCTGAACGCTCGGAAAGAACTTTACCAGTCGTCATCGCTTCTGAATTCAGCATCTACCGATATCGTGAACTTGTCTTTTAATCCCCAGACCAAACTCAAATCCCTCTACAAACAAATTCTTCCAAGCAACAAACCGCTTCTGACTTTACTACAACAACCTCTAGCTATCTGTCAGGCCTCCACCCTAAACTACATTAATAGAAATAGACAGCTATAAGCTAACGCAAAGAGCTCGTCGTAATCATTTACAATCTTAAACTTACCAAACAATTTAAACAATACTATCTTGCTTAAACTGAAGAAGACTTTCGCAACTTAATATATGTAAAGAAAAGTTTAATTATATTATTTTTGTTTTGTATTTTACTTGATTTGGATATCATATGAGAACAAAAATTGATGGAATGATAAAATAACATTTTCTTGTGCTGACAGTAAATAAAATTCCTGTTGTGCGTGTCCCTAAAATTAAAAAAAAAAAACGTGTTTTCTGTTCGATTCATGTAATTAATAAACTATTCATGCCCTGTGTGTTAATTGCTTCCTGGCAGAAGGAGATTTTATTATTGAAAGCAATATCTTTCTGTGTTGACAATAACATACTTTGTTGTGACACTAACGGTAAAAAGTATCGGGGTGACACATAGTTGCAATGATGTTTTAAGAGAAAAATATTTTCATAGAAATTTAATGTTTGCCCTATGCTTGAAAGTTTCTAAGTGAAGTTAATGATTGTTGTAATTAAAAATTATGCAATAAGAAGTAATTTTATTTAAATGTTTTGTGTTTGTTATATCCGAACAGTTTATTTAAGCAGGCCTGATAGATTAATCATGAAGTATGGAATTTGCAATAATCTAACTAACATCTTGGACGAACTTTTCCATGCAGTGCATTATTAAACAGTTGTACATAGATTTTAATTGCAGGTAATTAAACTCTCTCTTACATTCATAAAGCATATGTTATTTGGTATTTATATACAAGTAATATAGATTATGATTTTCTTGTTGACACTGAGAAAATATTTTTTATTTGCAATTTGTGCAATTTAAAATTGTTAGGTAAAATTAAATTGTCTTGAATCTCTCATATTTATGTGATTTATAAGAGCATGTATTTATAGTGTATGATGAATCATTGATACAAAAATTAGCAATTAAAATTTTTTTTTAGATATATATGTTTGTAATGTCAGATCTTTTAAATCAGCAAAAGTTAAAAAAAATATATCTATATTGTCTGACTTAAAACTATATATTGTTCCATATTTTTGTACCATATTTACCCATGTGCGTGTGAAATAAATTGTAAATGTAATCTAATTTGATAATTTCAGGTTCATAATAGTAAACAGCATTACTGTTTATTTTTGTAAGAAGTTTTCCTAATTAAAAATAACATTCATTTTGCAGTGTGTCTAAGAATGCATTGATTCATAGTGTATTAAATTTAAAGGAGTTTTCAACATAAAGAGGTTCATTGTTTCTGCAGTTTTTTGTGTAAAATAGAAATATTATTAAAGTTTGGGGGAAAAAATTTTTGCATCTCAATATAATAATTGATCCTTTCACAGATGCAGCAATTAATGAAACACATTCTTGTTATAAAGTGATCATATTTCTACTGTATTTTATTTTGCTTATTTAAAAAATTTAGTCAAAGTAAGTGATTTGATTCAACATGATCATTTTGAATTATGTGTTATTGAAGTCCTCTTTTTACTATTAAATAGTGAAAATTATTTTAAATTATTGCCTTCATTTTAATCAATAGCTAATTGTTTTTCCATTTTCTACTTACAGCTATTTGTTTCAAATAAAAGAGAAAAGCAAAAATTTTATTTTGAATAGAAAATTATATTTTTTCTTATATTTATGCATTTCTATTTTAATGTCATTGCAAAGTAGATATAGTATGTCTTCATTTCTTGCAGCACATTTATGATTGTTATTTTAGAGATCTTATTCAACTACACACAATTTATCTACACTTATAATTAAGTATTTTCTCAGAAAAGTAAACATATACTGTAAAAGTGTTTTTGATCCTGTAAGATAACGTTATTTTTGTAATATATGTAAGTAGATTTTTTTCTAAAAGAAGTACTCTCACTAATCTCTGTAAATTTTATACTGGTGAGAAATCCTACTCTTGTAGTATAATAAGAGTTTTTTCACAAAGAGATCTCACTAAACACAATCGTGTTAATATGGGTAGGAATCCTTATTCTTGTAGTATATGTAATAAGAGTTTTTCCCGAAGAGTTCTACTGACTGGACATGGTCATGTTCATACAGGAGAAAAGTTTTATTCATGTACTATATGTAATAAGATATTTCCAACTAGATATAATTTGACTCGACATAGTCGTGTTCATACTGGTGAGAAACCTTATTCTTGTGATATATGTGATAAGAGTTTTTCACAAAAAGTTAAACTGACTGAACATGGACGTGTTCATACTGGTGAGAAGCCTTATTCTTGTAGTACATGTAATAAGAGTTTTTCACGTAGAACTCTACTGATTGTACATTATCGTGTTCATACAGGGGAGAAGCCTTATTCTTGTAGTAAATGTAATAAGAGATTTTCAAGTAGAGATTATTTGACCTCACATAGTCGTGTTCATACGGGTGAGAAGCTTTATTCATGTACTATATGTAATAAGAAATTTCCAACTGGATCTAATTTGACTCAACATAGTCGTGTTCATACTGGTGAGAAACCTTATTCTTGTACTATATGTAATAAGAGTTTTTCTCTTAGAGAGAGTCTATTTAAACACATTCGAGTTCATACCGGTGAGAAACCTTATTCTTGTAGTATGTGTAATAAGAGTTTTACACAAAGAAGTAATTTGACGTATCATAGTCGTATTCATACTGGTGAGAAACCTTATTCTTGTGGTATATGTAATGAAACTTTTTCACAGAGACGTCATTTGACTAAACACAGTCACATTCATACTGAGAAATAAACCTTATTCTTATAATATATGTTATGAGAGTTTTTCACAAATAGTTCTTCAAAATAAGACATTTGTGTTCATGCAGGTGAAAAACATTTTTCAAGTTCTATATGTAATAAGACTTTTTCAAGAAAGTATTACCTAACTCCTCGCATTCAGGCTCACACTGTTTAAAAACCATATTCTTGTATACAAAAAAAAAAATTTTTTTTTTTTACTTGAAGAGCATCCAAGTTATCATAGTTTTGTTCATGCTGGTTAAAAACTACATTCTTATGATATGTTTCAAAAGAGTTTTTTTTTTCTTTTCTTCAAAAGACTGACTTTGATGTTTGTGTTTGGACTGGCTAGAAATTTTTTTGTTGTACCATAACTAAATAAGAGTTTTTCTCAGCAATGTCATCTGGCTAAATACAGTGTTGTTCCTACTAGCGACAAAGCAAATCTTTAAAGTAATTAATGAAGTAGTTTTTTTTTTTAATAATAGTGATCTGAATATTTACACTCATGTTCATACTGGTTGAGAAACCATATTCTTGTAGAATCTATAATAAGTCTTTCTTAACAGGAGCTAATCAAACTAATCATTGTTTTGTTGACCCAGCTGAAAAACCTAATTCTTGTTGCACATGTCAAAGGAATCTTTCTAATCGCATTCTTATTCATACTGGTGCATTCATTTTTGCGGCATATGTAAAAAGTGACTGACTGAACATTGACCATTTCTCACTGAGGAAAAACTCTCTTCTTGCTTCCCTTATAAGTAAAAAATTTCACGGAAATATCATTAGATTTAACACAATTTAATGAA